CTGCAAAAGCTCCCTTCTCCATTGTCCCCTTCCGCGCCCAGAGCGCTCAAATCCCTAATTCGCCGCCAACCGAAGCAAAGTTTGAATCGCCCCTCGTCTCGTCTCTTTCCCCACCACTGTGCTGGACTACGACGATGAAGACGACGGTCGCGCTTCACCACCGCACCGGAGCGACCTCATCTACGCCCTCGTCCACCGCATTGGGTGGTCCACCGTCAACATCGGCCGCCGCAACCGACGTGCCTCACAGACACCGACTTCCACCGCATCACGTGCGCTTCACCGACGCCGTCTCCCACCTCACCGGGGCTACTTCACCAAGCACAACGTCGCACCTCCGCCCTCGAGGCCATTGGGGCTTCACCAATGGTCTCGTCCACCGCATCGTAGCGGTCCGCTGTCACTCAAAATCCGCATCTGTGTGCGGCTAGCCAACGGCAGCGCATAACCTTCAACGGCTCTGAAGTGACCCGCACTCTAGCTAGGCGAGCATGCCCAAACGCCGGCCCGAACTAGGTATCCACATATCACTCCCTAGTGCACTGTTCCGACGATGTTTGGATATCCTTTCACTACTCTCTTAGCTTACATGCCTATGCAACTCTGACTTTTTCTCTTATTTCTTCTAGAGATATCATCTGAAACAAGCAAACCATTTTTTAGCAAAGCATGACGACGCTACGGGATCTGGTACACATCCTGCACACCGGTGTAACCTTGTAAGTACCTGTCCTCCAGTACAACAACAAGGTCGACTCCTCTTATTTGATCAACCATTCGCCGTGTCAAAAATGCAGAGGGGGATGCAAGGAGCACAAGGCCTACACATCCAAGCAAGTGGTAACATGGACTTGTACATGGAACATCCCAAGCGCAAGCATAGCTGCAGTGAGCCTGTACAACGAGCTAGTGTAAGTCCTTGCATTTCATTTAATTCATACTAGCCTGCATGTATGATTTGTGAGCAGTGGCGAATCCATGAATTCAAGTTACCAGGGGCGAAAATTTAACTTAAAAAATACGAAGACACTTGCACTCTAGAAATCAACATAACTTGGGAAATGTGAAGCTACATGCACTTTGAAAACCAACTTATGATCCAAAGTAGTTCCAGATTATAAAACACTAAATGATGTAAGCACCAAAAAACACAAAATGCAACATGGTGTACAAGGACTACTAACATGGTCTGTACCTGCTTGAATTATTCATTCTCTGGCTGAAAATATCAAAGTGTAATTGTAGCTATAACCAGTGCGCAAACTGCATATCAATATATATATCCCGCACAAGTATGCCAATAGTTTCAAACAACAGATTAGAAAAGTATTTATGCTATGTTGTCATGATACGGGCACTTCCTGGCAGATGGCCTCGATGTTTCCTCAAGCCATGAAAATGTACTATAATTTGCTTGTCATCAATGCCTACAAATCTCTATGTCTCTGTCAACATAGCAGATCATCATTAGACACTAAATCCTTCAATGGGAGCTTGCAAAATGCTTGCATTAGATCCCTCATTAGACACTATATGTTCATCACCAGGAGCATGTAAAATGTTTGCATCAAATCATTCATTAGTAGTCTGTCCATTAGACACTTCAGGCTCAAGAACAACATGAGCTTGTATGTTTGCACCGGAAACTTGATTAGATACATCAAGTTTAGTCAGTTCAGTATTGATTGGGGGAGTTATAAAATAAGCAGAAATTGGTTTCATTTTCTCATAGATTCCCTACATATAAGCAATTTTACAACACAGTCAGGTTTAACTATTGGCCAAAAATTGAACAGTTGAATTAGATATAATCAGGGATGTGATGTACCTTCTCGTTGCGCATGCTGCTCTTGCAAGCTGCGAATGTTCGTTTGTGCAAGCTCAATGCCATGCCCGTGCTGCCGCTGCTGCCTCCACGCAGGCTACACCAAGGGTTGGATCTTCATCTTCTTGTCCTTCCATTCACTTGAAGCATGGCGACCGGCATCCAACGAGGTCGCAAGGAAGTGCTGTGTCAGTCTATCCAGCGGCGGTTAGGTTTGGAGTGAACCAGACTAGAGGCTGGAGCGAACGAATTGGGATTTTTCCTGTTGTCGATCGATATGGGAGGCGCTTGTTTGGACCGCGAGCCTGCTATAGGGCCTGTCTTGCACCTATGTTATTAGCCCATCCAAATTGAAATATTTTTCTTCATTTTTTACATTGTCTGCTCATGCGTTAGGACGAAGAAAACTAGCCTAGGCCAACCTAGACGACTCAAACTCGGTGCACACTTTCCAGACACCCGAGGCGGTCGCCACCAGCCCCTACGGTGGCGTCGCCCCTTTTGCGTGTAGGATTGGGGTAGTGAAAAATTTCTAGTGGCGCTTTTGATTTACCCACAGAATGGTTGAATTGCTTGTTTCTATGAACTGAGTTCGCCAATAATGTGAAGGACGCCAGTCTTTTCATCCTATTGTAGATTGCTTAGATCTCGATATTCCAAATGTAATCGCATGAAATATGTAGTAAAAGCCAGTGTGATGTGTGTGGCTACAACTAGTCTGACAACCTATCCTCATATAACATATCAAGGCAGCACCATCTTATCAGATTAACCATTGGACTTACCAATGCAGTGTGGGAAGAAAGAAGTATTGGGACTGCGTATCCAAGCAATTGATGCCATGGACTCCTTCGTAGAACCTTGTAAGTGAAAAAGAAGTTGCGGTGTGCATGTACAAAGAGCTAGCATAAGTTCAGTTACCTGCTTCTCAGAGTTTTAGTTAGCCACTTATTACAAAATTGTTCAGTTACGTTGCTTGGCTTAATTTAGTTTGCTACTGAATACAAAATGCCATAGCCTTTTAATCCTATTATAAAATGCGCCTATCTATGTGTTTGATTCTTACTGTTAAGAATTACCTGTTTGCCTGAACTTAAATAGCTACTTAAGCAAGTAGATAGCTGGTCATATGTACTTCTAGGGTGCAGCAGAATTCACGTGTAATTTACGTTCTAATAACTTGTTTGTTTAAATGGTTTGTTGTTATCACTTGTAGCACTAGTAATGTTAAATGTTTGTATGTTCATAGATAGACAACTGCCAGATTTATATGAGGGACACTGTCTTTTTAACTTGTGTGTGTGTGTGTATATATATATATATATATATATATATATATATATATATATATATATATATATATATACGGTCTACTCTGCTAATATTAGCAGAATAACTATTTTGCACACCACTTCTGCACTGCACGCTGGACAGAAGCGCACTGCATCATTTTGACGACGAGCACTGCAATACATACTAGTGAACTTCGCGTCAAAAAAATTGCATCCAGTGTTTTTTTATACTGTTTTCTCTCTAGTTTTTTAACCGTTTATCGGAACGAGACGTATAATATACCGTTGAAAAGCTAGATTCCTTGCGGTTTAAGAGCAGTTTCAAAAATGGCGCGGCGGACGACGAGTGGCAACGAGCGTATTTTCGCGATTTTTTCTAAACCGTTCGCCGGAATAAAGCAAATGATACGCCGCTGGAAAGATATGATTGAGGCGCATCTTTTTCATATCTATTATTTTCTGTAATTCATTACGGTTTAAGAGCAGTTTCAAATTTGCTAAACCGCGGAATTCTGTTTTTTCGAATTTTTAGCAATTTTCGTACTGTTTTCGCTCCAGTTTTTGAACCGTTTATCGAAACGAGACGTGTGATACGCCGTTGCAAAGCTACGAACGAGGCGCAACTTTCATATGTTGGAATGTTTTTGAGAATACTTATGGTTTTTAGTTAATTTTGAAAATTGTACGGCTGACGACGAGAGGCAGCCGCCGTTTTTCGTGAAATTTTCATAAACCGCTAGTTGAAATGATTCGAATTATACGCCGTTGGAAAGATATCGACGAGGCGCAACTTTTACATGTAGAACACTCTCTCTGATTTCTTACGGTTTAATAGCAATTTTGATTTTTAACAAAAATTCGGACACTGTTTTTTCGCGACCCAAAATCGTCGTATGTATTACATCAGACAGAAAACCGCACTGCTTTCAGACCAAAAAACCGCACTTCATCAAACCGACAAGTGCACTGCATGTTTTCTTTTTTGTGGTATGTAAATTTCCCAAACGAGGTAGCAAACGACACTTCTTTAGACCAAAACATGCACTTCATCAGACGAATAAGTGCACTGCATGATTCCTTTTTTGTGGGACGTAAATTTTCCCAAACGAGGTATTCAAACCGCACTTCTTTAGACTAAAACCCGCACTTTATCAAACGGACAAGTGCACTGCATGATTTCTTTTGTCGAACATAATTTTTTCTTAAATGAGTTTTTGTTATCTTTTTTTTGACATTTTCTACAAATGAGAGTGGACCGCAGAGATGAGGGCAAGTGGACCTCGACATATATCAAAGTGAACCGCATTTCTTTTATTTGTTTTCTAATCTTTTTTCACATTTCCGTGTTGTGCGCAAGCGAACAGTATCACTCCCAAAAGTGAACCACATCGAGGACCAAACACACTGCAGGATTTGATGATAGTCAACTGATTTTCCGAGACACACAAACAAATTGCACTTCACACATAGGAATAATGAGTTGGTACACAAATTAGAGGAACTACTTGTTTCTCTTCTCCCACGCGACATTCCGCACCAAATCATAGGGCAAACAGGCCACGCGCCGCCGAACCACATTTGCGCGCCCTGGCGCACTTCAAGTCTGCAGACGCCCAGACTGCAAGAGGAGGGAAAACACGCTCCTGGCGATCTGGAGCATGGTTAGTGAATCTGAGGCTGGTCATTATTGTGACCAAAACTGCATCAAACTAATCTGCTAGAAACTCCACTTTAATGAACTACAGATAAAACACAAGGCCAGACCTGAAAAAATAAAAAAAAATGCTATGGACTGCTTAGAGAGGACTCTGCACTGCGTCAATAACACTCAAACCTGCACCAAAAACACTCCGCACTGCAACAGTGCGTTAGCCGCACCGCACCTATCCACTATCCAGAGCTGCAATGGTTTTGGTGCAGTGAAAAACAGAGAATGGGACTACGACAAAAACCAAAAAGGGGACCAGCTTGAATAAGTCTGCAGCTGTGCGGGTCAGCTGGCTCCTCTCTCTTCTAGAGAGTCTTTTCCCGTTGGCTAGCTTCAGCAATAATCTGGACGAAAAATCCTAACATCTAGCCACAGCAGCCGCAAGCCAAGCCAAGAGTGCTGCAAGGTTGAAAAGATCTCGTCTTTGACTGAAATTAAGAGTGCAATCAGCCCCAAGAACTAGTACTTCCTGAGTAACAATATTCAGTAACTAATCTGAAATTTTGAATCAGCGCATATCAAACTAGATGTTTGATCACCTGCCCACGGAAGCCACTCCTTTCATTGCAGGACCAATCACAGGAACACTTGATGGAAACTTTTCTATCACAGACCTCTGTTCTTCATTCTTCACTTCGGGTTTGGCTTTGGTTTCACCAAGCGCACTGCTTTTACAAAGAAAAGATGTTTACAAACTGTACAACGGAGTTGCCCACGTACTACACCAGCAAGCGAGCTGCACAACAAACTTCAATGAACTTTTCTTAAAAAAACACAGAGGACATGAAACTTAACTGCATGCCACACACAGCCATGGTGTCGCTGCCAGGGGCGAACTGCATGGAGACGTTGCGAGCCTTCCTTCTGCAGTAGAGGAAGGAGATGGGTGGCGAGGAGCAGCAGTCACCTCCAACAAAAGGATTCTAGCACATTGCACTACCTGAATACATAGTGGACTGCATCGCTTGTGCCCACAAACAGCAGGGTCTAAACGGGAGGTGCACGAGCAGAAAAATGAAGAGACAAGCTCGGGCCACTGCTCGTTGGAGGCCGACGCCGGCGATGTGGGGCCCCACTGGTGAGGCGCACATTAGAGAAGGTCACACGCATCTAAGTTAGTGGACCTACAGAGTTGGTAGTCGGGATTGGAGGCTCACCGGGCCTATCCTTGGAGGAGAAAAAGGGTGGAGGAAGGGCAGAAGAGGACGGCGCTGGGCATCCAACCCCCATGACCGCACATCACCACCGCCCTCCCTCCAGCAACCGAGCTGCAGTGGAGCACCACCCGAACCGCTCAACCCTTGCCCTCCCAGTAGCAAGATCTCGTGGGCTATCCAGGGGTGCAGGATGGGAGTGATTCATGCACCCATGCAATTGACTGCACGACACTGGATTTGGCCGCTACGATGCAGAAAGAGATCACCGAGGCGGGGGTTGTAGCGGCAGTCAACGCCCACGGTGCTCGCGGGCAGGGGCGCGGTGGCGGCCTGGGAAGGGGCGGAGCAGCGCCGGCGTAGGAAGGGGCGGCGCGGCAGCTGTCTGTGGAGGGGTGGCGGCAGTGGTCTGGGGAGGGGCGGCCGGGGCCTGGTGGGGAGGGAGGTCGGGATGGGAGGCGTGGGCG